ATGTTTGATAATCGAATGTGCGCGCATACTATGTTACAAAGGATGAGGGAAAAGGGGTCGATACTGGCCTGCCTGGGATGGCCTGAGGTTATGTTTAGGATGGGTGATGGGGCAGAATCATAGATACATTGCAATCCGAAAAACGGGCACGGTTAATTATAGGGAATGCTAGGTCCCATTATTCTTCTAGAGAGGAGAATCAACGACCGTGCTCCGCGCGCGACCATCTCCCATGCTCGTGCAAACATCCCACCCACCCAGCTGCAACGTGGTTTGCATAAGCCCATGCGGCGGCGACTTCGATGGCTGCTTGGCGCTGGCTGGCACATCGCCGCAGCCGCGCTAGCGTGCGCAAGCTCGCGCGCAGAGCGGCCGGCTAGTCTGGCGCGACCGACGCAACCGCGGCGGCGCTTACCCCTGGTCACTTCCCAACGCGTTTCGCAGGCCGCGCTGACGCGCAGGCACGTCAGTGCGAGTCGGTGACTCGACTGGGCGCGGTAGCATGGCGACGTCGACAACGGCGGATACGGTGATGATCGTAGCGATGCTGGTGGCGACGATGGCGATGACGACGGCCAGGCCAATGACGGCGCCGATGCTGGTCACGCCGATGATGATGATGATGATGATGATGATGATGATGATGATGATGATGATGATGATGCTGATGATGATGAGGATGAGGATGAGGATGATGATGATGATGATGTCCACGCGTCGGCGATACAAGTATTGGAGGGATCTCGACATGTGTGCGCGGCCGACGCGAGCGAATGGCCCGCATTGTAAGAGCGTTCGAGTGATGCCGACACGCGCGCGCGAGAGGACCGCTTGGCCGCATTCGATGAACACGTTGAGAAACCAATTGTATTCTTACGAATTCGTCAAAGCGCGCAGACTTTTTGTTTGGACAAATCATGCTGCCAAACCATTATTCTGTACATTTTTTCGGGGCACTCGCTTGTGACATCCTTGCGACACCTTCGGTTTTTGACAGATTTCGGGGTGCGCGTGAGGGGGGGAGATCCCAAGTCTTGTTTAGAAAAGGCAAATGTATGTGGTGGGGCCTGGGTGGTTGTGCAATCTATGTGGTGCAATCTTTGTTGTGCGGTCTATGCTGTACAATGCATGTTGTGCAAGGTAGGTTATGTATTCTAGGTTGTGCAATCTGTGTTGTTGAATCTATGTGGTCGCGGGGTGGGTCGCGGGTGTCTGCGGGCGGGTCGCGGGTGGGTCGCGGGATGGGTCGCGGGTGGGGTCGCGGAGCGCCCCGGGGGCGCCGCCAGAGGCGGTGCCAGGGTGCCGAGACCGCCCTCGTCTACTCGGGGGGCTTGTTGAGGCCAGCTGTGACTACCTAGGGCCTTTGATAGGCTGGTTTTCCACCACCACCACCACCAGAAATTGGAGGGGGAGGGGTCCTCCTCCTCCTCCTCCTCCTCCTCCACCTCCTCCTCCTCCTCCTCTTCTTCCTCCTCGTCCTCGTCCTCCACCTCCTTCCCCCCTCCAACTTGTGGTGGTGGTGGTGGAAAACAGGCCCATCAGTCTTGTTCGTGCTCAACCCGAACCTGCGACCCTACCCCTACGGATCCAAGCGACGCTGGGGTATCGAACACCGCCGGTGGGGTCGACGTGGCTGCAGAAATCCTTCAAGTTTTGAGCCCTGGCAGGTTTTTGAAAAATCTGACCTGCAGGGATGGGATTCGCGGGGGGCTCGCGGGCCCTGTCGCGAGTGGGGTGACGCCAACACCAATAAACAACGCAACAACAATCCGCACCGCGGAACCCCACTTCAGCCACGCACCCATGGACAGTGAATGACCGTTCGGCCCCCTCACTCTGGCAATCTGTGTGATGCAGCCTAGGTGGCGGAATCAAAGTGGTGGTGCAATCGATGTGGCGCAGTCTAGGTTGTGCAATCGATGGTGTACAATCTAGAGGGTGCAAGGTATGTGGTGCAATCTAAGTGGTGCCATCCATGTAATGAAGCTGTGCTGTACAGTGTATTTCGTGCAATGTATGTTGGGTAATCTATGTATTGCAGCTTATGTGGTGCAATCTTTGTGTGAAATATGTGCTTTGTAACCTATGTGATGCAATTTATGTTGTGGGATCTATGCTGTGCATTCGATGTGTACATACCGTGCAGTCTATGTGGAGCGATCTATGTTATGCAATCTATGTTGTGCAATCAATGTTGTGCCATCTAGGTGATGCAGTCTATGTGGTGCAACCAATGTGGGCGACATTTGTGGTGCGCAATCTATGCGGTACAATCTACGTGGCAACGACGTGGCGGCGATGGCGACAACATAGCTGCCAGACCGCCTCCCAGGGCCAGACGACGGGCGGCGACGAAGCGGCGACGGGGCGGCGACGGCGACAACGTAGCCGCCAAACCGGCCCCCAAACCCCGACGACGAGCGGCGACGCGTCGGCGACGTGGAGGCGAGGGCGACGACATAGCCGCCAGACCGACCACCAAGCCCAGACGACGGGCGGTGACGAGGCGGCGACGGGGTGGCGACGGCGACGGCGACGACATCGCCGCCAGACCGACTCACACGCCCAGTCTCCTGCTCCAGGAACCCGACCCCCGAAATGCAAACTCAGCGCCCCTCAAACGGGGACTCCACTAACGGGTACTTTGGCCAGTGACCCAGCGAACCCACCCCTTCCCGATGCGGGCAACGCTGCATTGCCAGAAAGAGGCCCTAAAGTGGCAACTTTCGGCAACATTGCAAAGTACCCGTTAGTAAGTACCCCTTGCGGTGTCGTTGACAAACACTGTCTGGGGCACGGCCGGATCGAGCCTTGCGGTCAAGCTGCTCAGGGAGTCATGCCGTGCCGTCGGAGCTCGGGCCGCCGGGCCACCGCTCGGGCCCCCGGCGGCCGTGCGGGGCGAGCTGGGCCCCCCCAGGAGAGCGCCCTCGGCGAGGCGCGGCGGCCGGAGAGCACCGCGAGCCGAGAGGCAACCGCCGAGCACCGGCGGACACCCGCGACAGTCGACGATGACGCTGCCGAGGAACCCCCACATACTTCTATGATGGCTGGAGTGATGATAGCTGGAGCGGAGCATGTGAGAACGATGTTGGTGGCCGTTCCCTGCGCACCCCCCCTGGCGTCGGGAAACGGCCACGCCTGCTATGCCCTGCGCCATGGCCCGCATAGACGCCGCGCTCGGGGACCACCCCCTGCGCACCCCCTGTGGTGCCGAGAAAGTGCCACACCTGCTATGCCCTGCGCCATGGCCCGCATAGACGCCGCGCTCGGGGACCACTCCCTGCGCACCCCCTCTGGCGTCGAGAAAGTGCCACGCCTGCTATGCTCTGCGCCATGGCCAGCGTAGATGCCGCGCTCGGGGACCACCTCCTGCGCACCCCCTATGATGTCGAGAAAGTGCCACGCCTGATATTCCCTGCGCCATGGCCCGCATAGACGCCGCGCTCGGGGACCACCCCCTGTGCACCCCCTATGGTGTCAAGAAAGTGCCACGCCTGCTATGCCCTGCGCCATGGCCCGCATAGACGCCGCGCTCGGGGACCACCCCCTGCGCACCCCCTATGGTGCCGAGAAAGTGCCACGCCTGCTATGCTCTGCGCCATGGCCCGCATAGACGCCGCGCTCGGGGACCACTCCCTGCAAACCCCCTCTGGCGTCGAGAAAGTGCCACACCTGCTATGCCCTGCGCCATGGCCCGCATAGACGCCGCGCTCGGGAACCAGCGCCCCCCCTGTGGTGTCGAGGAAATTGAAACTACCAGCGAAATATCCTCACTCCCTGCGGGTCGTGCTGTGCTGTGCTGTGCTGTGCTGTGTTGTGTTGTGCTGTGCTGTACTTTGCTGTGCGTGGTGTGTGCGTGGTGTGTGCTGTGTGTGTGTGTGTGTGTGTGTGTGTGTGTGTGTGTGTGTGTGTGTGTGCGTGCGCGTGCGTGCGTGCGTGCGTGCGTGCGTGTGCGTGCTTGTGTCTTGTGTCTTGTGTATGTGTATGTGTATGTGTATGTGCTGTGTGCTGTGCTGCGCTGTGCTGTGTGAGAAGGGGAAGGAGGAGGAGGGGTGAAGAGGCGACGCGGGTGCGACGCGGGCAGGAAGAACACCATAACCCCACGAAACATGTGGGGAACCACCAACGAAAACCTCTGGCCAGGGCGCGGTGGCGCGCCGTGGCCCGCAGGCCCCGCCCGCAGGCGCCTCCCCGATCACTTTCTTTGCGTCGGCGGCGAGGCAAGGGAAGTCTGCGCTAGCGGAGAGGCCTAAACAAGGGGGTGCCGTTAGGGCACATCGTGCCACCATTCTGAAAGAGGAGGCGGAGGAGCAGGAGGAGGAGGATGAGGAGGAGGAAGAGGAGGAGGAGAAGGAGGAGGAGGAGAGAAGGAGGAGGAGGGTGGGGAGGAGGAGCGGAGGAGGAGGAGGAGGAGGAGGAGGAAGGAGGGGTGAGGAGGAGGAGGAGGAGGAGGAGAGTAGGAGGAGAGGGGGGAGGAGGGGGGGAGGGGAGGAGGAGGAGGAGGAGGAGGAAGAGGAGGAGGAGGAGAAGATGAGGAGGAGGAGTGGAGGAGGAGGAGGAGGACGGAGGAATAGGAGGAGGAGGAGACGCGGCGTGCGGCGGAGACCGCCTTTGCGCCGCACTGCGCCGCAGGAGGAGGAGAGGAGGAGAGGGAGGGGAAGGAGGAGGATGAGGAAGAAGCGGATGAGTAGGAGAGGAGGAGGAGGAGGCAGAATGGGGAGGCTGAGGATGAGGATGAAGATGAGGATGAGGGATGAGGATGAGATGAGGATGCTGATAGATGATGATGCTGCGATGATGATGCTGATGCTGCTGCTAGCTGATGATGATGCTGATGATGATGATGGATGATGATGAAAGGAGGAGGGAGGAGGAGGAGGAGGGGAGGAGGAGTAGGAGGAGGAGGAGGAGGAGGAGGAGGAGGAGGGGGGTGGAGCAGGAGGAAGACGCGGCCGAAAGAGGGGGGGCGGAGGAAGCGAGCCGCTCAAGGGGGGCGGCGCCTCCCCGAACACGTCGCCGGGCCAGAGCGTGCCGACCTTCAGGGAGAACTCGTCCTCGACGACGGCCTCGGAGAGCGAGCGGCGAGTGGCAGCGCAGGCGTTCATCAAGCAGGGCAGGGCGGCCTGTGGGGCCTGCTCCGAAGGCTGAGGGGGGGAGGAGGAGGAGGAGGAGGAGGAGGAGGAGGAGGAGGAGAAGAGGAGAGGATGAGGATGAGGAGGAGGAGAGGAGGAGGAGGAGAGGAGGAGGAGGAGGAGGAGGAGGAGAGGAGGAGCGGGAGGAGGAGGGGGAGGAGAAGGGGGAGGAGAAGGGGGAGGAGGCGGAGGGGGGGAGGAGGAGAGGGGGAGGAGGGGGAGGAGGGGGAAGAGAGGGGAGGAGGAGGAGAAGGGAGGAGGATGAGGAGAGGAGAAGGAGGAGGAGGAGGAGGAGAAGGAGGAGGAGGAGGAGGAAGAGGAGGAGGACGTCCAAGCATCTATCGCAGGATCGGCCAACCGCCATGTGAGCAGTCTCTGATCGCCTCCAGGGCCACAGCTGTGGCAGCACGTACAACAACAGCCTGGGCCGACTGCCAGCGCTTGCTCGTGGAGCTCCTAGGCCTCGTTAGCAGCTGCGCGTGGTAGCCACTCTCATAAGAAGCACTTCGTCAAGCGAAACCAGTCGTCAACGCACGTAAGGAAGGGATCGAACAGGACAGGGTCGTTTGGTAAACGCCGAGGGATGTTTAGTCATCTCAAGTCTGGAGGTCGGGGTGGCTTTTCCTCCCTGGGGCCTCGTCAGTGCTGCCGGGAACGTGGGAGGCCCTGGAACCACATCGGCAGCGTCTGAGAAGAGCTCTCCGGGGCAGATGTCTCATCCCGTCACTTTTTGGCGGTCCCGGGGCCTGGCGAGGGCCCTCAGAGGCCGAACTGTGGAGAAACCTTCTATGGATTCTCCACAACTGGAGGACGTCAGGGTTGTCGCCACCGCCGCCGACGCCGTCTTGAACGACGTTCGCGACGACGACGAAACGTCGACGACGGCGACGACGACGAAACGAGGACGACGAAGACAATGACGAACCGAAGACGACGACGACGACGGCGGCGACGACGACGCCGAAACGACGACGACGAAAACGGCGACGACGACGACGACGAAGAAACGACGACGACGACAGCGGCGGCGAAGGCGGCGGGGCCTCGCCGCAGAGCAGCACGTAGCAGGGGGTGAGGCCAAGCCTGCACGCCTGCCGGCGGGAAGGGGGTCCTCGGGAGGCTCAGGGCCCCCCGCCCTCGCCGCCGCCGCCGCCGCCGTCGTCGAGGTCGTCGTCGTCGTCGCCGTCGTCGTCGCCGTCGTCGTCGTCGTCGTCGTAGTCGTCGTCGTCGTCGTCGTCGACAAGGTCGTCGTCAATATATCGTCGCTGCCGCCGTCGCCGTTGTCGGAGGAAGATCTGGAAGAGGATATTGGAATATCGAAACGAATCGTCCTTACCTCTTGGGCTTCCGCGTGCCTGTGGAAACTTCTGGAGGCCTCTGAGGGCCTCGAGAGACTGCTTGGGGAGGAGGAGAGTCAGGCGGAGAAGGATGGGGAGAAGGAGAAAGAAAAGGACGAGGAGGTGGAGGAGGTGGGGGAGAAGGATGAGAAGGAGAAGGAGGGGGAGGCGGAGGAGGAATCCTAAACATGAGTTTCCTGTTCTTCGTAAGATGCCTTCGCCTCACTCCTTCACTCCCTCCCGCCTCCCTCCCTCACTCATTATCATACTCACCATGCTCAGACTCTCTCGCACTCGGACTCGCTCAGACCAGGCTCATACTCAGACTCACTCACACTGGTATTCAGTCATACCGAGAATCACTCAGACGACTCAGGCACACTCATACTACCATGCTCGCTTGCATCCTGATTCACCCGCATACGCAATCCCGCTCACTCACAACGAAACCCCATCGTTCGTTGTCGCGTTGCGGCAAGCATGGCGCCCAAGCCTCCCGAGCGGGAACTTCCGTGGGGCTTATGCCATGGGCCCATTCGCGCCGAGATGGTCGGGACCCCTCGGCCATGGTGGCCGTCAAGTTGGAAGGAGGACGTGGAGGAGGAGGAGGGCGAGGAGGAGGAGGACGAGGAGGAGGAGCAGGAGGAATAAGGGGAGGAGGAGGAACAGGTGGAGGAGGAGCATGGGGAGGAGGAGGAGGAGGAGGAGGAGGAGGAGGAGGAGGAGGAGGAGGAGGAGGAGCAGGAGGAGCAGGAGGAGCAGGAGGGTGAGGAGGATAGTCGAGGCTGTACAAATAGGACGCGGATAAAGTGTTACCGTTTTCGTGCCCTACGAAGACGCATGAATCTAATGGGGCTGGGTAAGCACCCCTCTCAATGGTATGTAATCTCGCTTGCGCCCTCCCGCCCCACTATTGTGACGTGCCAAGCGAAGGCGCGTGACCAAAAATAGGCTGGCCTCCTAGGCTCCTGAAGATCCAGACTTTTATTCTTCTCCCCCAAGAAGCCTCCCAGAGGCCTAATATGTTTGCACCTGCCCTCTCCCTCGGTTGCACGGAGTCCGGCTGGGCGGTACCGAAACCTGGACATTTGCGAGGGGCCAGCCTATCAAATGGTACACGCTGGGGCATGAAAGGGGGGCTGGACATGAGATATCGCGAGGATTTCTGGGCTGCTGCTCGGATGCAAGCTGCTCTGTCTCCTCTGTAGCTGTTTACTGGAGCCAGCCTGGCATGCCTTGCCACCTGCGGCGCGTGGCCGGGACCGCGGGGGCATTCTCAGCTGCCTCTCCCTTGATAAACTTGCTGTTGGGAGCTAAGTGCGCGAACTCGCCACTGTGGAAGTCGACATACGCGACGCCAACCACCAAGCACCTAATTCTGGGACTGCGCACGGCAAGCTCCACGCCCAGCACGGCTAGTTCTGGGACGGCAAGTTTGCAATCGTTCAAAAGGTTCGTAGGGTTGAAGTCCCAGGACTGGCGTTCTGGTGCGATTTAGGACTGTCAGGACGCAACGGTCACGTTGATTCGCGGTGGAGTCGCAAGCATGGTTTAGTGGGACGGTTTAAGGTTTAAGGTGGTCCAGACGCAACAGTCAAGATAATTCGTGGCGTTGGCTCTATGCTTTCAAAGGGGCACTTCCCGCACGGGAAATACATGTTTGTAGAGAGACCTCCGAGGAAGGAGCCTGAGGGAGCGTTTGTTGTAACTTATTCCAACATCTTGGATGCGACTTGGGTCTACACTGACCCTCCTCCTCCTCCTCCTCCTCCTCCTCCCCCTTCAGCTCGGCAGTCCTCCCCATTCTCTGCCCCACGTGCTGCCGCGCGCGCAAGAGGACCGGCGCTGCTCGGGCCGCCTCCCCAACCTTGACGATTCTCTCGCCTGGGGCGAAGAAGACGTCCTCAACGTCTTCGCAGATCTTGTCCACGAATTCCGCGCTGGCAGCGGCGGCCCCTCCTTCTCCTCCCTGCTCCTCCTTCTTCCTCCACCTCCTCCTCCTCCTCCTCCTCCTCTTCCTCCTCCTCCTCCTCTTCCTCCTCCTCCTTCTCCTCCTCTGCTCCTCCTCCTCCTCCTCCTTCGCCTCCGTCCTCCTCCGCCTCCTCCTCCTCGCCCTCCTCCTCCTCTGCCCCTCCTCCTCCTCCTCCTCCTCCCCTTTGTTCTTTGCTCTTTTGCTCTTGGCTCTTCTCCCCTTCTCCTCCTCCCCCCTCCTTCCTTCCCTCCTCTCCATTCCTCTCCTTGTCCTCCTTCTCCTCCCTCCTCCCCTCCCCTTCCCCCCTCCCTTCCCTCCCCTCACCTCTCCCCTCCTTCTCCTCTATGCTCCTCCTCCCCTCTCTTCCTTTTCCTCTCCTCCCCTCTCCTCTCCTCTCCTCTCCCCTCCCCTTCCCCTTGGCTCTCTCCCTTTTTCCATTCCCCTCCTTTCCCTCTCCTCTCCGCTCCTCTCCTCTTCCTTCTCCTACTCCTCTCCTCTCATCTCCTCCTCCTCTCCTCTCCTCTCCTCTCCTCTCCTCTACTCTCCTCCCCTCCTCCTCCTCCTCCTCCTCCTTCCTCCTCCCTCCTTCTCCTCCTCCTCCCTCTCCCTCCTCCTGCTCGTCCTCTCCTCCTTCATGCTCCTCGTTACTCCTCCTCCTCCTCCTCCTTCTCCTCCTCCGCACGTGCTCCTCCTCTCTCTTCCCCTCATCCTCCTCCTCCTCCTCCTCATCCTCCTCCTCCTCTTCCTCATCTCCTCCTCCTCCTCCTCCTCCTCTCTCCTCCTCTGCTACCTTCTCTCCATTCTGCTCCTCCACCTCCTCCTCCTACTCCTTCTCCTCCTCCTCGGTACCTCCTCTCCTGCTCCATCCGCCTGCTCTCCTCCTCTCCTCCCCTCCTCCTCCTGCTCCTCCTCCTCCTCTCCTACTCCTCCTCCTCTGCTCTGTCTCCTCGTTCTTCTCGTCCTGCTCCTCCTCCTCCTCCTCCTCCTCCTCCTCCATTCTCCTCTTTCCCCTCTTCTTGGCCTCATCCACCGTCGTCGTCGCCGCCGTCCTCCTCCTCCTCCTCCTCCTGCCCCTGCGGGCCTCTTGCTCCTCCCCGCGGGGAAGCGGCTCTCACCCCCTCCACCGACAAAAAATCCTATCTCTGGACGCGTGACGCGTGGCTACCCCGGTGGAGAGGAAGAGGAGGAGGAGAAGGAGGAGGAGGAGGAGGAGGAGGAGGAGGAGGAGGCGGAGGAGGAGGAGGAGGAGGGGGAGGAGGAGGAGGAGGGAGGAGGAGGGAGGGAGGAGGAGGAGGAGGAGGAGGAGGAGTGGAGTGGAGTGGAGTGGACCCCGTTGCGGACTGCAAGTGACTTCTGACCACACTAAGGAAGAGCTCCCGAGGAGGGAGGAGGAGGAGGAGCCCTCCAAGATTCAATCAGCACGGCCAAGAGAGAGAGAGAGAGGGAGGGAGAGGGAGAGGGAGAAAGGGAGAGCGCTCTGGGGCGTGGCGGTTCAGCCCAACAGCCTCCGAGAGCCGACGCCTCGGTGCAGAAACGCGGGGACGGCAGAACGCTGCGGGGGCCCACCGGCGAGGCTCTCGTGCCACTCTGCTCGGGCTTCGCACCTAGCCTTAGGTCGGGCACGTCCTCCTCCAGGCGGATTTGGGAAGAAGAATGGCACATAGTCGAACAAGAGGCAAACCACACACCCCAAAATGATAGAAACATCGTCCCCATCCTCTTATTTTTGACTGCTTTTGAATATTCCTCCAAATGCCCCCCCGAGCGCCCCAGGAGTCCCCCAAGCGGCCCCAGGAACCCCCAAAGCGCCGCATTGACACCAGGCCCTCGGGCAGACGGCAGGCCTGAGACTGTCTGGGCCGGCGGAATGAGCGAAGCGATTGAAATCATAAAAACATCGTCCCCATCCTCTTAGTTTTGACTGCTTTTGAATACACCTTAGGCGATGCTTAAGAAAACTTACGTTTTCGGCCAGAGTCTCGATTATTCTTAACGTTTCAATGTAAATCTTAAGATTTTAACGGAAATGTTTGGTTTTTATTCAAGTTCTGAGACTATGAATTTCTTAACCCATGATTTCTTAAGCATTTCGCAGGGTGTATTCCCCCTGCAGAGGGACAGGCCCGACCCAAACCTAACCCGGGCGGCCAGGCAGCGGGCGGCGGTGGTGCGGGGTGGCGCTGGCGTGGGGGCGGCGCCGCGGCCGCCTCGAGGGCCGCCGGGCTCGCGTGGCCGACGTGGAGGACGAGCTCGGACTCCAGCAGCGAAGGGGCCCCAGGACACACAAATCAATACACACAAACAAAAACATTCCCCGTATTTTTCCATAAATTTTTGGGTTTCTGTCTTCCCCCCCACTTCCCATGTTTTCCCATATTTTCGGGGGAATCGAGGATTAATTGTGTCTCTGTGTTTTTTTCCCTCCTGAAGCAAGACGAAGGCAGAACCGAGACAGCATCTCTACGGGGCGTGAAAACGACCACAGCCACTGCTTTTCTGTTGCTGCCGCCGTCCTGCCCGCAGAAGCAAGGCAGTGGTGGTGGTCATTTTCGTGGAGCTTGGCACCAGGGAGATGACCACAACCACTGCTTCTTTTTCGGCCGGCTGGAAGGCGGCGCAAACAAGAAGCAGTGGCTGTGGTAATTTTCCCGTCCCGCTATCTCGGCGACTCCGAAGGGTGTGGTTTGCAAAAGGCGTGGTTTGCACAGGGTACCCGTGGGAGCACCCCGGGGGGCGGGCGGGGACCTCGATAGTGTTCTTCGCTGCGCTCTGGGAAGGCCCGACGAGGACAGTGTCGTGCCCCCAATGCCCCAACGGCGCCGATCGCAAACCACACCCTGGCGTAACCACACCCTTTGTAGTCACCGAACATCGGGCCGATGTGCATCAGAAGCCTCTGAGAGTCGTCGGCTTTGGAGGATGCAGCGGACGGCGCGGCGGTTTCAGAGCGTTCCAAACCGCCCTGAGAGCGCTCCGGAACGCTCTGGAACGGATTTCTCTCGGCTCTAGCCCAGACATGCGACGTCCTGATTTTTTCCATACGGGGTCCCTGGAAACCCCGACCCTTTCCCCGGGACCGGTTTTACATCCTGAATCATTTTTTGACGGTCCCGAGGCCCGGCGAGGGCCCCCCGAGGCCGAAAGCGGGCAAAAACCTCCCGTGCTGAGGTTGTTACGACGCGATCCTGTCTGGGAGCTCTAGGCCCGTCCGGTGCAGGCCAGGCCGGGCCTCAGGCACCGGACGCTCACAGCCGCCGCGTTGCGGGGCCGGAGCCGTCCAAGGACGCAGCTCTCGCAGCGGAGAGCGAGGAGCGCCTGCAGCGCGGCCGCGCCCGCGCGGCCGCGCCCTGCTCGGCGGCGGGCGGGGCGGAGGGTGGCCTCTCGCACGGCTTGGCCGTGCCCTTCGCGGCCTTCCGGGCTGCAGCCCCTGGCGCAGAGCCCGAAGGGGCCGCGCCCGCGGCAGACGGGGAGCGGACGTGCGACGTCGATCGGGGGGGAATCGAAGCCTGCCGCCCGGCCCCCGCGCGACGAGGTCCACGCACCGCTCAGGCAGCACTCCGTGCTCGTCGTCGCGGTGCAGCTCCAGGATCGCCGCCTCCACGTCCACGTCTGCCCCCGTGGACCTCGAGCGCTTGGCCAACACCGTCGCGGCGGCGGTGTGTTGCCGCAGCCGGCTCGCACTCGGGTGGCAGGCTGCTGGATGATGCAGGTGGGTATCGAGTGGCTTGCCGTACGATTCATCACCTCGCCCGTCCTGTATCTAGGGGGAACAAGAAGTGACACAAACATAAGAACCCTCGGAGGTCCGCGCGGACCTCCGAATTTTTATGTCTATGCCCTTTTTGGTTCCCCTGGTCCTGTAGCGCGCAGGTCATGCCTGCTCGCGGCACCTGGCGGCCATCCACCGCGGCTGTGCCGGCGCCGCTGTCGACCCCGACCTCCCCGGAGCCGCAGCCGAGGGTGTCGGGGAGGCCTGCGCAGGCCCAGGGCGGCCGTGCTGGCTGTCGGCGCGGGGCGCTCCTCGAGCAAGGGCCGACCCGGCCGCTCCTGATGCCTGAGCGGTGGCAGCCTGTAGAGCCCATGCAAGCGCAGATGCAACGCAGATCGCATGGAGGAATCGACTCACGCCCACCGAGGCCGTGCCAGTGCCCAGGGCTGCGCCCACTGATCCCGCCGCCTGCCGGATCCTGCATCCGCAGAGATGCCTTGAGATCGCCATGGTGCCAGTGCCCAGATGCACATCTCGCACTGGGAAGCGCATACATGCACTAGCGCCATGGAGCCCAGCTCTCCAGGTAAGTTTCCATGACGGCTCTTGCTGTCCGCTTGACGACTTCCGAGCCCAGACGTGCGACGTCCTGAGTGGTTCAAGAAGGGGTCCCTGGAAATCCCGACCCTTTCCCAGGGACCGACTTCTCATCCTGAACGGTTTTTTGACCGCCCCGAGGCCCGGCGAGAGCCCCCCGAGGCCGAAAACGGCCAAAAACTCCCGTCCTGATTTTTTTTTACGACGCGATCATGTCTGGGGGTTGAGCTCTGGATCGAGCTCCGGGTCGGACGAGCCTCCGTCACAAGAGTCGCGAACGGGCGACGGGGGATGCAGCGGCCGGTGGCCCTGGGGTGGGGCAGGCCCGTGCCCCCGTACGGGATCTGATGTGTTGATGTGAGCGCAGGCGCGCTCGGCTGTGCAGCTCTTGCCGGGCGGCGACGGCGACGGTCAGATCCCCGCACTCCTCTTTCGATTCCTCCTCCGATTCCGCCTCCTCTCCGCCCCTACAACTCAACTGACCTTGCTCGTCTCTCTCTCTCTCTCTCTCTCCCGACAGCACGCCGCTGGCCTCGACCAGGACGCCACCAGCGCGCCGCAGGCTAAACACCACTTCCAGAGCTGGCTTCCCCGAGCTTGGAGGCACCACCAGGGGAACCTCCACCAAGGCACCGCCGCCCACGCCCACGCCCACGCCCACCGGATCGGTGACGGCGAATGCCATTGGAAAGAAAGTCGAGGGAGCCTTCGTCGTCTTGAAACTTCGCATGTTCGACCAATAGGTACAGTGGGGGCCCACGCCAAGAAACACCCTGCGTGCCTCCAGGGTGCCCTGGGTTTCCTGGGCCTCGATGGTTCTGTCATGGCAAGCGTGACGCTCTCGCACCAAACATCGATGGACGTCCTGGGGTCTCAGGGCTGGGCTTGTTGTGTAAGGCTTCTTGTGGTCGGGCCCCTACAGTGCGGGCGCGGCCGCAAGAAACCCTCGCAAAAAACCCAACCCTGAGAACCCGTGCGCGAGGTACACCTGAAGGGAAACCTGAGGCACCCTGAACGCAAGAGTTCCTTCAACGGCTGCGGGAAGAAGTCGACACGCGCAGCGCGAGGAGCGAAGAAACCAGGATACCCTGGCGAAAAGCACATGTTTTCTTCATGCGCGCCCCCGCTGCACTGTGGTGGCGGCGTGCTCTGTTGGTGAGGGGGGGGCTGCCGCCTCGCCTTCGCAGCCCGGGGGCCCCGCCACGCGGCGATTGGTGGGTTATCGTGGGCGGGACTGCTCGGGCTCGCTCGCTGCAGGTCGGCGCTGCGGCGCGCCGCTGCGCGCGAGCGCACCCCGCGCGCCACTGCCTGGCTCACAGGAAACCTCCAGGAGGCTCCACGCGAGCGCCCTTCGATCTGTCTACCCAGACCCCCGACGTCGTGATTTTTTCATGACGTCGACCCCCAGAGGTCTGGACCCTTTCCCCGGGACCGGTTTTTCATCCTGAGTCGTTTTTTGACGCTCCCGCGGCCCGGTGAGGACCTCCGGAGGGCGAAAATAGCGAAAAACCTTCCGTCGTGATTTTTTCACGACGCGAGGGGGTCTGGGTAGCTGGAGCCCGACGAGCGCCCGCGCCTGCCGAGTGCACCCTCCGGATGCCTCCAGCAGCGGCGGCGACGCGACGAGGGCCGTGCGGTCGGACACCCTTGCTTGGCGTGTCGCCGCGGCGGCCCATGCGACTCGGTACGCCTTGCGAGCGGATCGCGTGGTGCTTCGCCCCGCGGGGCGGGAGGCTCGAAAAGTTTTTTTTTTTTTTTTTTTTTTTGTAGGTGTGTGTTTTTTTGTGTGTTTTTTTTTGTATTTAACGAAAATTTGCAACATGCATTGTTTAACTGTTTTGAGAACTTCTTTTCATTGTTTTTCTCCATGGCGGCCCTCTGGGGACGATCGGGACTCGCACTTCTGCGACGAAGTCAGCAACCTGGATGTGCTGCAAGGAGGTAGACAGCTGGAGGACCAGAGAGGGAACGCAGGCAGGGGGAAAGGATCGCAAATGGGGACTGGCAGCCGAGGCGCAGAGCATGCTTCACACGCCCGCGGCATCAACATAATTGGCGGAAGAGCGTTTGCGTGCGCGACTGGGTCGAGTCGCCGCAAATGCGGCGGTTTGCACCAAAACCAGTGTGGCGTCTTGTCCTACAATGAAGCCGCCGCAGATGACGCAACCTGGAAAACGCGTGTCTGCGATGATCCTCTCCTATCCCCCATCATCCTCATCGCCCCCCCGCCCTGTTGATCTTCCATCTCCTCCTGCACCTGCCTGTGACAGGCCGCGTGGCCAAACTCGTGGCTGGCTGTGTCTGGCCAATGCAGACTCGCCCGACAGTCGAGAGAAGTCTAGCTTAATGGCGCGGCAGTTCCATGCCGGAAACCTCAAGGCACAACCTAGTCCAAGCTAAACCACGCTCAGTTCAAGGGGCCCAGGAATACACACATATAAAAAAGTGCGAATCCCAATATTCCCGATATTTTCAAATATTTTCTGGGGTTGCGTCTTCCCCCTATTTTCCGATATTTTCCTGGGAATCGACGATGACTCGTGTCTGTATGTGTTTTCCCCTCCTGATCAATTCAAATTCTCTAGGCCAAGCTAAACAACCGTAAGCTCACATGAGCGTGCGGCCATGGTACATCGATGACACACTCGGGCTGATCGCCCATGTGATTCGATTGGTAGGCCCCCTTCAAATGTCACAGATCCAAGGCAACATTGTTTCGAGGAGGACTCCCGTATACAAAGAACGCAACACATCGCCGACAAATCAAGTCTGGATGGCCTGGATGCGCAAACTATGTCCGTCACCTGTGCCGCCAGGCCCCGCGTCACTGGGAACGCTGCCGCACCTGCTCTCTCTTCCGCGCCCGCCTCCGCGACAGGCGCGCCCGCCCCCCGAGAGAACGCCGCAGCCCACTCGGACGGGCAAATCGGAGCAGGCGCCATCGCCTTGCCGGTCGCACGACGCACGCAACTTGCCGCTGTGGGCCGCCAAGGCCCGGCAAGATGGCACCGGAGCGCCAAAAAAATAGTCTGGGAATGGAAGCTACGACAACATCGCGGGGTGCACTGCTGGGAAACGGACCGCCTGCTAAAAACGAGGGAAGGACCCAGAGATCCGATGTCGTGATTTTTCCTGCGGGGTCCCCGGCAGTCTCGACCCATTCCCCTGGACCGGTTTTTCATCCCGATTCGTTCTTTGACGGCCCCGGGGCCCGGCGAGGGCCCCCAGGGGCCCAAAACTTCGAAATACCTCTGCCTCGATTTTTGTTTTGCAACACGTGGGATCTCTGGGCCCAGACCCCCGACGTCGTGATTTTTTCATGACGTCGACCCCCAGAGGTCTGGACCCTTTCCCCGGGACCGGTTTTTCATCCTGAGTCGTTTTTTGACGCTCCCGCGGCCCGGTGAGGACCTCCGGAGGGCGAAAATAGCGAAAAACCTTCCGTCGTGATTTTTCACGACGCGAGGGGGTCTGGGGGGATCTCTGGGGAGGAGGAGAGCGACGTGAGCGCTCTAACGCTGCTGCGCCAAGCCGGCGGGGTCCGACCGGGCCGAGGGCGGCCGCTCCGCCCTGCTCGGGCTGCGGAGGGTGCGCCGGGGGTGCCTCGGGCGTTGGCAGAACTGGGTTTAGTGGTACCTGGTTCAGTGACCCAGACATCGGGCGTCTCGAAAAAATCGAGACGGAGGTTTTTCGTCGTTTTCGGCCTCTCGGGGCCCTCGCCGGGCCTCGGGGCCGTCAAAAAACGACTCGGGGCGACAAACCGGCCCTGGGGAAGTGGTCGGGACGTCCGGGGCCCGTGTCTCGAAAAAATCGAGACGTCGGATGTCTGGGGATGTGTACTGGGGGACGCCCCCCCCGCCCCGTTCCACTATCCGGAACTGCCGCCACCCGACAAAACACCAGCTACGGCAGACCTGGCTTAGTGATTCTGGACAATTTGGGGGCTTCGGGGCCATACCACTACCCGGGTCCCCTTACCCGGGTCCTGGCTATGCCCGAGTGCCTGGCGCTGCCCAGGTGCGTGCGCAGCGTGGAGTCGATGCCGTCGACGCGCCGGCACAGCAGGCGCGACCTTAGTGGGCCCCGGAAACGGGAAGTAGCCGTTTTTTTGCCGGTTCCGACGCCGTTCTTTTACCGGTTCCGGCTCTGGTTCCGGTTCCGGCCCCGGGAACGGCAAGGCCGTTTTTTTACCGGTTCCGTCGCCGTTCTTTCACGGGTCCCCGCTCCGGCTCCAATCCTGTTGCCGTTCCCGGTCGCCGGTGTTTTGCCGGTTCCATTCTCAAGGGGCACGCTCTTTCGGAAACGGTGAACGGCCCTGCCGTTTCCGGGGCCCACTGAGGGCGCGACTGGTGGATGAGGCTGCAGACGTCGATGCTGCGGGCCACGCCCTTGAGGCGCAGGCACCCGTCCAGGAACTCGTCCACGTCGAGCTCGCCGTCGTGGTTCACGTCGAGGAGCTCGAACAGCCGCTCCGTGTCGTGCACGTCCAGCCCGAGCGCGGTGAGGTAGTGCTGCACGCGCTCGTGGTTGCAGAAGTCCGACACCTCCTCCCTGCTCACCGTCCCGGAGCGATCGGCGTCCATCTCCAGGAAGATGCTGCGCATCTCGCTGCGCCACTGCTCCTTGACCTCCATCTCTTTCTGCACCAGAAACTCCCGCTGCGTGCCAGCCGTCTGCACTGCGTTGTCCACAAACACACCAGTAATGATATTCATCACGACGAGCATGGTGAACGACAGATAGCATACAAATCCGAATGCCAAGAACGGACCTGTCCAACCAGGGATGGTGTACAGCGCGGACGGTAGAGTGTACCAGCTGATGCCGTTGAGCATGGTGTGGAATAGGGTGAACAGAGTCAACCACAGGTTGCCGAAGTGCTCATCGATATGGATGGACGTGTTACCCTTCCCCTGGCGCCTGATGTGCTCGGTGGTGTAGTGCGTGAAGAAGATGGCGAACACGTAAATGACGAGTCCCAACAGGACGAGGGCCCACATCAACGACTTGACAGAATCTATGATCATGAACGCCAGCTGGCTGAGCTTGCTAAAGAAGCGGAATACCCGCACAACGCGGACAATCCTCAATATCTTGATGGTCTTGAAGCCCGCGCCCGCCCCGACGGTGGAGGCCGCTACACCAGCGTCCGCCAGCGACACGCCGTCGAAGACCGACATCACCACAAGAACACAGTCGAACCAGTTCCAGTTTCTGTTGTCGGAGAGGACGAAGAAGTGTCGCATGCCATCAGCGACGATGCGGAGCACCAGCTCGATGAAGAAGAAGCAGCTGCACAGCAGGCCCAAGATTTTGGTCGCCGCCAGCTCTGTCTCGTGCGTAGTCAGCCACTGGACCTCAACGCCGATGATGATAGAATTTGTGATTATCATGCAGGCGCAAACCAAGTCGAACGAACAGTGGCCAACAAAACGCTGCAGGTAGGTCCCGTCCAGATTTACCGAGGAGCCCTTGATCTTCTTCTGCTGCTGGTAGAGGTTGCGCGTCAGAGCCCTTCGAGCTGCGGGCGGCATGACTGCTGACACCTGCCTCGACGTCGCCTTGTTCAACTTGCTGTTCAGGGCCACGGCGGTTGCCCGCTTCTGGGTGGCGCTGCGCGCGGGCGTCGTTGCGACGACGCCAACCTGCGAGGGGCAGCACGATGCCTTCGGCGTGCCGTCGGCAGCATTGCCCCAAACGTCCTGCATCTCGCCCGCCATCTCGCTGGCGATCTCCTGCATCAGGTCAGACACGGCAGGCCATTCGCCCGCAGCCGACGGGAGCTCCCCACAGATCCGCCCGAAACTGTCCTGCGCCCTGTGGAGGAGCGACCTGTACTGCTCCACCTGGTTCTGCAAGACGATGACCCCTCCCCGCAGGTCCACCACCTCCCCAGACATCCGACGCCTCGACTTTTTCGAGACACGGGCCCCCGACCTCCCGACCGCTTCCCCGGGACCGCACCCCGAGTCGCTTTCTGACGGCCCCGAGGCCCGGCGAGGGCCCCGCGGAGGCCGAGCACGGCGGCACGCCTCCGCCCCGCTTCTGCCCGAGACGCCCGACGTCTGCGCACCTCGCCCCGCAGGTCCGCCACCTCCAGGTCGTGCGTGGCCGCCAGCGCCTCGAGCCTGTCCCGGAAGCCCGCGCCGCCCGCGGCGCACGCGCCCGAAGCCCCCGACGGCCGCGGCCGCGGCGCGGCCGACGAGCGAAGGCTGCCGCCGCCGGCGCCGCCCCGCGCCTCCTGCAGGTGCGCCGCCCGCGGGCCGGGCGACCGCACGCGCTCGGGGCCCACCGTGCCCCACGGCCCGGCCTCCTGCGGGGCGCCGGCCTCCTCCTCCTCCTCCTCCTCCTCCTCCTCCTCCTCCTCCACGTCTGCTCTTCCTCCTCCCTCCTCCTCCCTCCTCCTCCTCCTCCTCTCCTCCTCCCTCCTCCTCTCTCCTCTCCTCTCCTCCTCCTCTCCTCCTCCTCCTCTCTCCTCCCTCCTCCTCCTCCTCCTCCTCCTCCTCCTCCTCCTCCTCCTCCTCCTCCTCCTCCTCCTCCTCCTCGCGCGGCTCCGCCTGGTCGGGGCCGGCCGCGCCCGGCGGCCCGGGCGGGGCGAGGCTCACGCGGCGGGGCGAGGCGGGGGGGCTCGAGCACTCCATCGGCGGCGGCAGCGCGCCGCGGGTCTGGGGGCGGTCGAAGCGCGGCCACTCCGCCCGCGCGGGCGCCGCGGGCCGGGCCTCGGCCGCCGGCGCCGGCGAGGTCCACTCCGCAGCGGGCGGCGGCGAGCCCGACATCGGCTGGCCCACGCCTCGGGTGCGCGCCCTGTCCTGGCGCGCCGCGCCCCGTGGGCGTGGCGTGTGGCTTGAGCCAGGACGGCTTGAGCCAGAAAGGCAAAGGGAGGAGGAGGAGGAGGAGGAGGAGGAGGAGGAGGAGGAGGAGGAGGAGGAGGAGGAGGAGGATCAAGAAGGCTCGGGACGTCCGAGTAGATGGGGTCGAAGGATCGCGCCGCATCGCCGACGTCGGCGATGCATCGGCGACGTCGGCGTGGGGAAACACGGTCTCCACATCGAGCCGCATCGTCGATGCATCGGCGATGCAGCGCGATCCTCCGACCCATCTACTCGGACCCCATCTAAGAGGCCTAGAACATGGGCAGAGGCGCCAGAGCGTCGGAGCGTCAGACAATGAGGCCCGATCGTAGGTCCAGCTCGATCTTGCTCTCAAGTTTAATTGTGGCAGCTTCCACGATATCTTGCCCTTGAAGCTGAAGATCTTGCCCTCGAGGCTGGAGGTCGACAGGAATAGGTCGAGGACTGGAGGTGAAGACTGGATGGCCGTGATTGGTGGTGAATGCTGGGGGTCGGTAGAAGACAAGTAATCGCAATTGGTGGTGAATGCTGGTGACCCAGATGGCGAGTTCCGGAAACCCTGAACCAAAAAACCTTGCCACCTCTTGGGGGGGCGATATTGAAGGGGCCCTGGGACACACACACACACATAAATACACACAAATAACAATATTTCATATATTTTCATATGTTTTTGGGGTCTTCGTCCTGGAGCCCCTGGGGCCCTCTGGGCCTCAGCAGGGTGCTCTGGAGGCCATGGGGGCCTCTTGGGAAATCCTCGGGGCACCTTGGGCCAGGGGCACTTCTGGCAGCACCCTTGAGGAGGAGGAGTGAGGAGGAGGAGGAGGAGAAGGAGGAGAAGGAGGAGGAGGAGGAGGAGGAGAGGAGGAGGAGGAGGGGAGGAGGAGGAGGAGGATGAGGAGGAGGAGGAGGAGGAGGAGGGGGAGGAGGAGGAGGAGGGGAGGAGGAGGAGGAGGAGGCGGAGGAGGAGGGGGAGCTGGAGGGGGAAGGGCAACCGACCCACGAGCTTGCGCGAGCGCGACGCGGCTACGGACGCGCAGTGCGCCCCTGGGGCAGATCGAAGCCGTCTGTGAGCGGGCCTGCGCGGGCCTTCCCAATGAGGCCCGGCGGCTTCCAAAGAGGCCTCCCAGGAGCCAGGAGGGCTTCGAAGAACCCCCCAGCGAACATCTTGGGGGCTCGCCTTGCTTTTAGTTGGTGTGTGTGCGTGTGTGTGTGGTCCTGCGGGTTGCGCGGGCCCCGGGAGGTCAGGCAGCGAAGCGTCCCCACGTGACTGCACTCGGGCCTTGCTGTTTGCACTCGCCCAGGCCACCTGGTCCTCGTGCCTCTCCTGCTCGTCCTCCGACGCCCGACAATGAGCTCCCTATCTTGCTCCCTCCCTGCCTCCGCCTCCTGCTCCCTCGGGCCTCTTCCTCCTCTCCTCTCAGCTCGTGCACCAAACTCTGGTCATCCCGAGGGTCCTGGCATGGTAGAAGAACGAGGACTCGGTCAACATTCTCCTGGGCACCGTGACGCTCAACCCGAAGCGGCTGGTCGTGGCTTGCCGCGCTCTGAACTTGTGCTGCAGGTGACCGCTTAGGCAACACTGGCTGCATAACCGAGATGGTGATAACATCGTTCTACTCCTCCGATGCGCTCTCAATGTGCTTCCCTCTCCAAATGTCAACGCGCAGCCTCACCCCAGCGCGCTCTTCTGCTCCCTCTGCCGCCTGCCACGCTGCTGGCGGCTGCTCACTGGTGGCGTCCTCATGGGGCTGATCGCTGATCGCTGGCTGCCTTGCCCTCCCTCCTGCTCCTATGCCTCCTCCATGCACGTCTCCTTCTCTTTCTCACCTTCCTTATGATTGAGAACCACACCCCAGCAATCATTGAAGCGTCCCTGCAATGGGTCCCAACAACTTTGTCCAACGGATATCGGTCTACTTTCATTGGTTGTATATAACTCAACAGAGGTCGGCACTAGCACTGGGGCCACCTCTATGGATACCGACGAAAACATCACGCACACACATTTCCCACAAAACAGCATGCATGACAACTGTGTGTAGCCAGCTACGACAACGGCGCACAGAACATATATATATATATATATGTATATATATATATATATGCATGCGCCGGATGTTTGCTATCTCGAACCCGAAACACTAAGCTATTGCAGTCCCGGGGCGCTCATGTACTGGTGCATCAGGTGTACGTTGCAACCTCTTTGATGCAATCTCTGCCGTATAATAAAGGTAGTGTGGTCTATTTGATATAACTATGTGATGTACTGTATGCGGTCCAATGAATATTGTAAGCTCTATGTTATGAGAGCTGCGCTGTCCAAACTAGGCAGTGCAACTTGGGTGGTGCAGCTTGCGCCGTACAACCAGCGGTACATGCATACATATATGTGTATTTAACATCGTGAATGCAACTACGTGGTGCAGTCTATCTGGTCCAGGACAGATTGTGCAAGCTATGTGCTATGTCCAATCAATGTGGTGCAGCCCATGTTGTCCAATCCAATGAGATCGTCACCGATGTCGTCATATTGGCGGGCTGGACGCCGCGTGGTGAATCTATGTGGCGCAATACATTCCTGTCCGCAATGAATTGTCCACTCCACTGCTCGCGCAATCGTCCCAACTAGTAGCAACTTGGTTTGCAAAAGCCCATGCGGCGGCGATTGCGATGAGTGCATGGTGTTGGCTGGTGCATGTCTGCGGCCGCGCTAACAGCGGCCAGCTAGCTTGGCGTGACCGACGCGGCCGCGGTGGCGCTGACCGGTGGGCACATCCCAGCGGGCACCTCACTGCGAGTCAGCGACTTGGGCGGGCGCGGTATCATGGCAACGTCGACGATGGTAAACTCGATGATGGCAGTAATTCGCAGTGCTGGTGAAGATGATGACAACGGCGACGGCACGGCCAGTGACGGCGCCGAAGCTGATCACGCCGACGACGATGCCGGCGTCCTCGCGTCGGTGATGAAGGTTTTGGAAGGAGTTCGAAGTTCGACGTGCGCCCCGCGAGTGGCTCGTTTGGCAGAGTTCAATGAACATGATAAAACAACTTATGGCTTCCTTGAGAATTCGCAAGAACGCAACGACCGTTTTTAAACTGATGTTGCGAAACCATGTGTTTTGTATCTGTGTTTTCTAGACACTCGATTTTGAATTCCTTTCGAAGCCGACGGTTTTTGAAGGATTTCGGCATGCGCGCACGACGACGCACGCGCGTGCCATTCGTCCCACTTTTTCCAACACATTCCTCGCGACAGCACGGGCGAAAAACCGTTCGAACGATTTCGACATGCGCGCGCGCGAAAGCCGTTCGGCTGCATTTTCTGCACATGTTGAACAACCGATGGTTTTCTTAAGAATTCGCCAGAACTCGCGCATTTTGACTGATTTCGGCACTCGCGCGCGACATCGCGCGCGTGCACTTCGTCCCATCTAGTGTAAGGTATTCTTGAACACTGCTGAATTTTGATGAACGAGAATGCGCGCATAACATTCAGAGGATGGCGGGGGGGGATCGATCCCAGCCTGCCTGGATGGTACGAATTCATATTTGGGATGGACGATGGGGCATAATCGTGTGCGCATTGCAATACGAAGTGGTACCGATACTCCCGGGGGGATGTAGAATCTGTTCTTTTTTAGTATAAGAGAATATATGGTGCAACCTACGTGGCAGATTTCGGAAATCCTGAACCCAAAATCGTTTTCATCTCTTGGGGGCGCATTTTTGATTTTCGCCCCCTTCCGCCGAGCCTCCCCCAGCTTCCGCAGGCGGAGGCGGCCTCGCTTTACTTCCGCCGACCTTCCGCCGCCTTCCGCGGCGGAAGAGATGACAACTCCCCAGACCCCCGACGTCATGTTTTTTGGTGTTATCATGACGTCGACCCCCAGAAGTCTGGGCCCCTTCCCCGGGGCCAGCTTTTCATCCTGGGTCCTTTTCTGACGGCCCCGAAGCCCGTGAAGGGCCCCCCGAAGCCGAACATAGCGAAAAACCTCCCGGCGTGATCTTTTCCTGACTCGAGGGGGTCTGGGTCCTTCTATCCTTGAGGGTAACGCCTTTTTGGGAACGCCCTGGGTGGTACACCTTAGGCGATGCTTAAGAAAATTAAGTTTTCGGCCAGAGTCTCGATTATTCTTAACGTTTCAATGTAAATCTTAAGTTTTTAATGGAAATGTTGGGTTTTTATTCAAATTCTGAGACTATGAATTTCTTAACCCATGATTTCTTAAGCATTTCGCAGGGTGTACCCTCCGACCGTGCACTGGGACAAGCGCAGGCGCCCGCGCGCGCGGGGTGCCCGCGAGAGGCGGCCGCGGGCGGGGACGGGCCGACGCCCCCCGGACAGCCACAGCCGGCGCGCGGAGCCGCGCCAGCGAGGCGCCCACGGGCGGGCGCTGGGCGACACCCTTCAGGCAGGCGTCCGTCGGGCGAGCCGGGCGAGCCTTCCACCCGTCCTGGCGGGCGTGCTCTCCGCCATCAGTTGGAGGGGGGAAGGGGTCCTCGTCCTCCTCCTCCTCCTCCCTCCTCCTCCTCCTCCTCGATCCTCCTCCTCCTCCGCCTCCTCCTCCTCCTCCTCCGCCTCCTCCTCCCTCCTCCCTCCTCCTCCCTCCTCCTCCTCTGGAGGGCTGGGCGGCCGGGCCGGGCCGCGCGCTCCTCCGGCTGCGGGCCTCGGCCGGGGACTTGGGGCTCCCGCCCGCCGCCAGCGCCTTCCCGGCCTTGGACCGCGTGCCGCGCATCACGTCCGCGAGGCTGTAGCCCCTCCTGGCGGCGCCGAGCTCTGAAGGGGAGGAGGAGGAGGAGGAGGAGGAGGAGGAGGAGGAGGAGGAGGAGGAGGAGGAGGAAAAGGAGGAGGAGGAGGAGGAGGAGGAGGAGGAGGAGGAGGAAAAGGAACAGGAGGAGGAGGAGGAGGAGGAGGAGGAGGAGCCCTGGGACACACAAATAAACACACACACACACAAATAAACCGATTCCCCGCTTCCCATATTTTCCCCACTTCCGATATTTCCCCCCGCTTCCCATATCTTCCAACATTTTCCTCCACTTTCCCACTTACCTGGGTTTTCGTCTTCCCCCCTACTTTCCATATTTTCCCATATTTTCTGGGAATCGACGATTGATTGTGTCTGTGTGTTTCTTTCCCTCCTGAAGCTCGGCCCTGGCGACCCTCGCTGGTTGCTTTCCGAGCGTGGGGGATCCACGGCGGAATGGGCTTCCCCCCGGATTCGATTTTTTTCCGTCGAGGGGGCGAGCAACTCGTAGGATGCTCGTGGATCGCTCCACGGGTTTTCCGAAGATTCGACGAGAACATCGATTTGGGGGTACATCAATTCTATAGTCGATCCCCTAGTCGAATTGTTGTTGCTGTTATTCGGGTTATTGTTGTTACTTTGTTTGGTCACGTGCCCGGACCTCCAACGTGTTGAGCAAGAACAGAGCGACGGCTTCTCGTTGTTGTCGGCCTCTGGGGGCCCTCGCCGGGCCAGGCGACACTAAAAAAACGGCCTGGTACGAAAAACCCGTCCCGAGGAAGTGGCCCAGAGCTCTGGGGACTCCGTAATGATAAAGTCCAGATGTCGGAGGTCTGCAGAAAGCTTCGTAAATGAAGCGAATCGGCGTAATAAAACACATCAATTTTGGGGGGCTGTGTGTGTTTCCCCTTGTGGGAGGTTTCGGGCAATTCCCAACGCATCTGGGCCTGTCTCGGTCTCCAAAAGGGCCCTCGGAAGATCAACCGAGACCTCCAAGTGACTGGCGCAGCAGCAGAAGGTGTTCCTCCTGATGTGGGATCCCTCGGATCTCCCTCCCCCTCCCCCTCCCCCTCCTCCTCCTCCTCCTCCTCCTCCTCCTCCTCCTCCTCTTTCTCCTCCTCCTCCTCCTCCTCCTCCTAATTTGGAAGGTTTCGGGCAATTCCCCACGCACCTGCGCCTGTCTCGGTCTCCAGGGCCCCCCGGAAAATCAACAGGGACCTCCAGGCGACCAGCGCCACAGCAAAAGTTTTTTCCTCCGGATGTGGGATCCCTCGGATATCCTCCCCTCCCCTCCCGTGACGAGGGATGGAGGCGGAAGGCGCCTTTTTGATCCTCCATTGGGATGGCATCCGATCTTGTGGTGCAGCTATGCGACCTTTCTGGTCTCATGAGCACCACATGCGTTTGCATCAGGCCGAATGGTAGGGATAGTGAGCGGGACACTGATCCAGAGCATGCCAGTCTGCCTTAACCCCCTCTCCCCAGGACCAAGGCAACTCTTCACGCAACGTGGCTCTGGAGATGCCGTGTTGACGCTTGCAGCGGTTGGGGATGTCGAGCGCTTCAGTGCGAGGCTCATGCCAGCGGACATCACTACTGGCGTATACCACTGCTTCCAAGGTCTAGATAGTGACAATACACTGGCGATGGAGTCCTGAGCTCTGTTCTCCTCCTCCTCTTCCTCCTCCTCCTCCTGAGGAGGAGGGGGAGGCGGAGCAGGAGGGCCTCCTCCTTCTCTGTTGAGCGGCTCGGAAGGGCCGCCAGTGCCACCCCCCGCGGACAGGGCGAGGGAAGAGGAAGGAAGGAGAGGAAGAGCAGAGGAGGGAAGTGAGTGGAAGTGGCAAGAGGAGATCGAGAGA